CGGCCATAAGCAGGAGCATCTCCGAGTCTGCTCCGAAGTTTCCGTGGGAGCAGGGCATTTGGGCTGCTCTGCCGTCTCATTTGAAGCCAACACTCAAGCATCACTCTGTGGGAGTCGGAGATCTTTTTGTTCCTTCTGCTCAGCCGGCTGTGATGGCTCCGACTTCCATGCCTAAGCACTCGTATCCAGACTTCGTCAGGAAGAGGCTTCGTCTTAGCAATCTACATCGTGATGAGTCTGAGGTCCGTGCCTTGCAGCTGAGAAAGCTTCGTACCATTGTCCTTCAGGACCCTTCTTCATCAGAATTGGGTTGTGCCTTGGTCAACGCGGCCGGGGCCCTTCAGGACGAGGAAGTGGTGGCCCGCAGCTTCCGCGATGCATTTGTTTCGAAGAGCACCGGCACACTTTTAAAGCGAGTTTCTTCTTTGTGGAGCTGCTGCTGCTTCCTCAACGACAAAGGGGTTCCTCCTTTGGATTTCCAGGAGGAGATTCTTTATGAGTACCTGAGCCTTCTTAGGGAGCAGAAACGGGGAGCTACGGCCGCCTCGTCGGTGCTCTCTGCCATTAGGTTCATTCATGGGGTTGTTAAGATCAAGGGTCTACCGAAGGAGGTCGAGTTCTCATCGCGGTGCGAAGGTCTGGCTCGTGGGGAGATGGCTCGGAAGAGGCCCACCAAACAATCCGAGGTCCTCACGGCTGACCAGGTGTGGGCCCTCGAGAAGCATGTGGTTGATTCTGCCCCCAGCCTGGATTCTTTGATAGGGGGCCAGGTTCTTTTCGCCCTCTACTCGTGTGCTAGGTGGGATGATTCTCTCCATCTGGCTGATATCTCTCTTTCGAGTGCTGGTCGCATCTACTTGGTAGAAACTGCAACTTCAAAACACAAGACTTCGCATGCTGCACGTGACAGGTCGATTTTGCTCCCCTTGATATGTTTAGGGAGGGGCCTCTACCATAAGCCGTGGGCGGATGCTTGGTTAGCTTCGCGCCGTCACTTCGGCCTCGACTCGACGGGCCCTGCTTTGCCAACTTACTGCGAGAGGACTGGCAAATTCGGCAAGGCGCCTATGTCTTCCACCGAGGCTACTTTGTGGCTTCGCGACCTCTTGTGCAAGGCGGGATCGTCGCCCAGTGAAGTCGAGGACATCACATCTCATGGTTTGAAGGCCACGCTTCTTTCATGGATAAGCAAACTGGGAGGGTGGAGCGAGCGTGATCAAAAGCTGATGGGCCACCATTTCGATAGGGAGTCCAGGTCTGTGCTCATCTACAGCAGAGACAGCTACACTCCGCTCGCCGTCCAGACTCGCCGCTTGTTGGACAAGATCCTCGATGGCTCCTTTTCTCCTGATCGCGGGAGGGCTCGCCGAGTCATGGAGCTTCTAGGTGAGACTTCAGGCGAAGAGGAGGACCCCGACTTAGGTGAGTACGTACCTTCTGAGTCTGGATCCGAGCCGGACTTGAACGACATTGATCCCTCGACGGCTTTTGAGCCGAGTGACCGCGTGAAGGAGATCGCGGTCCCTGAATCGTTGGCTTCGGTTCCTCGACAGCACTTGTATGTCCACAACATCTCTGGGATCATGCACGCAAGTTTTGACCTGCAGAAACTTTTGTGCGGCCGCCCCCTCAATCGTCATTACTCCGGCTTGGAGGATGTGACTTCGCAAGAGGGAGATGTGCAGGCCTGCAAGCACTGTAGCGTAGTTTTCTCGAAGGACTGAGATTCGGTCAGGAGCCTAGTTCGAAAATGTTGTGCAACATTTTGATCTGACCGGCGCGGGCTTGCTCACGGTGCTGCTCGTACTCTTGACGTGTCCGGGCCCATCAGTCTTTGATGATACACTGCCCGGCATCGTGTCGTTCCCAGGCAATTGGATTCGCCGGGATCGTGCCATCGGAAGGGGACCTAATTCCCTGGCAAATACAGCGGAGGGGGTTTCACATCGTGGTGAAACCGTGCCCCCTCCTTCGCGCTGCGGGAGCTGTGCCATCGGAGGGGACCGAGTTCCCTGGCAAATACAGCGGAGGGGGTTTCACATCGTGGTGAAACCGTGCCCCCTCCTTCGCGCTGCGGGAGCTGTTCCATCGGAGGGGACCGAGTTCCCTGGCAAATACAGCGGAGGGGGTTTCACATCGTGGTGAAACCGTGCCCCCTCCTTCGCGCTGCGGGATCTGTGCCATCGGAGGGGACCGAGTTCCCTGGCAAATACAGCGGAGGGTACTCGTCTATGACGAAACCGACTATCCCTCATCGTTTCTGGAGCCTCGCTGTCTGCGAAACCAAAGCTTCAGCATCGTGTCGTTTCCTGCTGTGTGTGACACGCCCTGCACATCTTCAGTGCGTTTGGCCTGGCATGTGACATCCATTGAGCCAAACGATGGGCAGCGGCGGCTTACAGCGACCACATAGCTGAGCCATGGCCACCTCCGAGTTGGACTCAGCTGTTGAGTTCAAGCGGCGAGCTTTGCAGCTCGGGGTTTCGGCCACCAACGTGGATGCCTTGATAAGTGCTGGCTTCACAACGTTTGGGCAGTACGCTTTCAGTGTTCCGTATCAGCCCGGAAATAGCGATGAGACCCCTTTGATCGATCTCTTCACCACTGTCCTGAGTGGAACACCGGATGCGGGGCAGCTTTCGTGCCTTCGCCGCTTGTTCTGGGAATCTCACGGGCTAGCCATTCGTGATCTACGGCTCAGGCAGGAGCATGGGGCCGAGACAGTTCTCAAGAAGCTCCCCACGTCGGAGCGAGTTGCTCGGTCCGAGTCCCAGCGAGCCCGTCTATCAGGATTGACTTGGTCCCCGGAGACAGAGCCTTCGCATCAGTTAGTGGATCGCTTCGTGACCATGGTGGAAGAGCAGACAGTGACTTACATTCGACCTGAGCTTTGCACCAGTCGCGCCCTGGAGTCTTTGCAAATCAAGCAGGCCAAGACCTTCGCCCTGGGATCAGACGGCCAACTTCGGGTAGCAACAAAGGGGGACGACCTTGAATGCTCCACGGCTGGCGAGTGGAAACTTCGCATGGCCCTTCAGAGAAAGGCTCTTGCCATGGACCTTGCTGGCTTGGTGAGCTTCCAGGTTGCTGAGACTTGGCACACGTACCTCTACACCGTCCGCGAGCGCGAGGTCCCGAAGAGCATGAAGCAAGTCAGCCTTCAACAAATTCTTGATGCCGATAAGCGCCTTTGGGTCCTTCTTGCAGAAGAAGTTCGAGGGAAGATTGTATCCCGGCCGGGCGGCACGCCAACTTGTGATCCCATCATCGAGCGCCTCAGCTCCTCAAGCGATGTCCTCTCCTACCTCGTCCCTCAGCCCGAGATTCGAGTTCCTTCAGTTCCTCGGTGGGAACCTTACACCCCCAACAACGGAAAAGGGAAAGGCAAAGGGAAGGGGAAGGACAAAGGCAAGACGACGACCCCTTCGGACTCGTCGGCGAACATCTCCATCCCAGACGGTGCTCACACGAAGACTGCGGATGGCAAGCCTCTTTGCTTCCTATACAGCCGCGGCAAGTGTTGGGCCAAGAAGAAGCCCGGACAACGGTGCGCCAAGGGATATCACCTTTGCTGGTTTTGCCTCAAGGAGCATGCCGGCTGCGATTGCCCGAACAAGGGCAGCTGACTCAAGGAATCCTCAGATGATCCTGTTAGATCTCGAAGTCCACCTCCTCGGGAAGGGAGCCAATCTTCTGCCACCGCCGAATCCTTTGCGGAGAGCCTTCTCAAGCTGGATCGGTCCGTGACTGCCGAGGATGTTGTAAAGCTTTTCGATTTCCTTCCTCAGGAGGTTTATAGTGGGTCTCGGGATCAAGGCAACAGCACCGGTGGGTCCTTTACCACTGGACTCTACTGCAGGGTCAAGGTTTCACTAAGACGTAATTCCCAGCTGTACCCGAATTCAACAGCGGTCCTTTGCAAGTTCGTTCGCCAGGTTCATGCCGATCACATTTTCACATCAATCATTCTATTTGACTCCGTTTCAACTGCCATGCACGTTGATGCTTTGAACGCTCCTTGCGATAACTTGGTAGTCGGTTTGACCGACTTTTCAGGAGGCGATCTTTGGGTCGAATGGCCCGCTACGGTTCCTCGGAATCCTCACCTCAGGTATGAAACTCGTGAGTTCGATTCAGGTTCGGCCCTCGGGGCCCTCCTTCCAGTGTCACAGCATCCAGCTCTGTTCTGTGCCAAGCGCTTGCGGCATGAGACCTGTCCTTTTAAGGGTCGTCGGGTTATTCTAGTTGCGTATAGCTTGCAGGCTTCCGATCAAGCCAGTCCCGAAGATCAGGGAGCCCTGATCGGCTTGGGCTTTCGCCTGCCTGGGCCTGGTGACTTGCAGAACCCTAACCCTAATCCCCCTAGGCTGTTGCATGGCACGGATGGCGCCCCTCGCGCTTCGGCCTCATTCGCTCAGGTGTTCTCAGGTGATGGAGCTTTGGCCTCAAGCTTCAACAGAATTGGATGGCATACCATAGCGATCGATCAACATGTGGTTCCGGGGCGACACAAGCACCAGCCCCTTGTTTGTGAGTTGTCGAGTCCCACTGGCCAGGACTTTGCTTTGCATATTCTAGAGGACTTTGGGCCGACCTTTGTGTACATTCGGCCTCCCTGTCGCACTGCGAACAAAGCCCGTGCCAGGTCATTGCCGTCTTCACACCCAGCAGTTGACAAGTGCCCGCCTTTGAGGTCACATGACAAGCCCTGGGGTCTTGCAGACCTTAACCCTAGACAGTCGGCACAGGTCCAAGCAGAAAATCGCCTCTTTCGCTTCTGTGCCAAGGTTCTCGTGTGGGCCCTCGCTAAAGGGGCCTTCGTTTGCATTGAGAACCCTGATGGCTCCCTGTTTTGGAGCTGCCTTGAATCTCTTCCAGAGTTTCAGTCTTGTCAGGCCTCCCTGGAGGCTTTCTGCGGTGACATGTGCATGCTTGGAGGTTCTAGGCCAGCTTCGATCAGGTTCCTCACCAACATTTCTGCGCTTCGTTCACTTGTTCACATGTGCCCCGGAGTGGGCGACGGGCACAAGCATGCCCCCTTTGGGTTTTTGTGCAAAAACGAACAACACCCTTCGCAGTTTGTGCAACTTGTGATCCAGGCTTGTTGTCAGGAGATCTCTTTCACTCCACCTCCTGCCCTGGCTCGGCCAGGAGATGAGGTGCGACAAACACGTAAGTCTCGTCAGCTTATGCCTGAGTTTTCCAGCATCAAGTGGCTGCGTCCTGACGACTTGCCTAGTTGCCCTCATAAATGCCTCCGGCCGGAGCAGGGGGCCCATCGCGGGGCCTTCAGCATTTCTGAGGGGTCTTTTGAGGGTCTCTTGGGTTCGTCGGTTTCTTCTGGTCCTCTTCCTTCTCGGCCCTCTTCGGTGCCCCCTTCGGTTTCGACTTCGGAGGTTTCTGACAAGATCCCCATAGGCATTTATGCGACTCCCGAGGAGTTCGTGCAGCGAGCTCGTGCTCTTCAACACCCGATGGCGGGTCCCAGCGTTGTCACGGACTCCTTCAAGAGAGCCCTGTTCGCTAACCTCACTAAAACCCCTGCCGAGGTTGCAAGCTTGAGAGCCTCCTTCCTTGAGCATGTAACACATTTGACGGAGAAGCTTCGCTCCGATGAGGAGGCTCTACATCGCTCTTTCTCTCCTGAGCTTCAGAAGGTTCTTAAAGGAAAACGACTTCTCCTCTTTAAGACCTTGCTGGAAGAGTACCGGTACGACGATGTTGGGGTCTGGGAGATGCTTCGGGACGGCCCTTCCTTGACTGGCACTCAGGACCATCCTCCCTATGCCGATCGTAGTTTTCGCCCGGCAACAGTTAGCACCGAACAGCTGGAGCGTGAATCTTCCTGGAGGCGGAAATTTGTGACCTCCAAAACTTCTTCACCCCAGGATGCTGCTACTCTGACTTCTCTTGGTGAAGGTGAGGTTTCGGCTGGATTCATTTCGGGACCATATCGAACAGCGGCCGAAGTTACTGAGGCTTTGGGAAGGCCCGACTGGATTGCAACTCCACGCTTTGTTTTGCTTCAGGGCTCCAAGGCCAAGCCCCGGGTTATCGACGATTGCAAATCTTCGGGTCTGAACTCATCTTTCTCCTCCACGGAGCGCCTTCGTCTGCAAGACCTCGACTATGTGGTGGCGATGATCAAGCTGGCTGGCAGGATGTCGGGTCGGCACAAAATTCGCATGGATCTTTCCACTGGTGATGTGCTCTGTGGTGATTGAGTGCTTCCCTCCGGCTCTGAGTGGCTTGGTCGATGTGTGGATCTAGCCAAAGCCTACAAGCAGATGGCTGTTCCTCGTTCCCAGCGCCACTTGGTGGTGCTCTGCCACCACGATGAACAAGGACTGCCTCTGTACTACATCTCGGAGTCCCTCCCCTTCGGGGCTGAGGGGTCGGTGTATGGATTCGTGCGCATGAGCCGAGCACTTTCATTTCTTATGAATGAGGCCATCCTTGTGCCGAGCTCGGTGTACTTCGACGATTTCCCAGCGATATCTCCCAAGGCTTCGTCAGCATCGGCTACCGCTGCCATTAAATTCTTGCTGTCCGCCCTCGGTTGGAGGTTCTCTACAGATCCAGATAAGGCGCGAGATTTCGATTCCACTTTCGATGTGTTGGGCTGCACCCTTGACTTGTCGGGCCTGGCCGGACCTTTCGGCTTCTTGGAGGTCCGCAACAAGCCTCGGCGGATCGAGCACATCACCGAGCTGCTGGACGAGTTGGGCAGCGGTCGGGGTGACTTCCGATTAGTTCCTGTGGTACAGGGTCAGCTCAACTTTGCATCGAACTTCGTTCTTGGTCGAGCCGTCGCTCCCCTTTCGCGAGCCCTGAGCTCTTCGAGCTCCGGTGAGATTAAGAGCTTGTGTGAGCGAATTCGCGATCTCCTGCGAGGGGCTCGTCCGAGGAGAGTGTCGTGGCACTCCCCGGATGCTCCTATTCTTATCTTCACAGATGCTGCTTTCGAGAAGGGGTTAGCAACCGTCGGCGCCGTCGTCATCGACACGATGGGTGGCCCGGCTTCCATTTATGACGGAGTTCTCCCCTCGTCTTTGGTGTCATCGTGGCAACGCTATGACGACGAGCAGATCATATGCCAGGCTGAATTGGCCGCAGCAGTCTGCATCCGCCACCGAGAACGCTACCGACTGACCGGCAGAAAATGCATTTACTTCATCGATAACGAAAGTGCCCGATTCGCGCTCATCCGAGCGGTATCGGGAGTACCCTCGATGCAATCCTTGGCCTCGTCATTTCACACGTGGGATCTGGACCACCCCCACTATCCTTGGATAGAGAGGGTGCCTTCGACCTCTAACCCAGCCGATCTCCCTTCGAGGGGGCGCATCAACGATTGCATTAGGCTTCTTGACGGACGACATGCAGGCAGCTTATGTATGCCGCCGGAGTTGGAAAACTTCGACCCGATGGGCGATTTCAAACCCCTTCGTGATGATGGGCCAACTTCGATACTGGCAATAGCTGCTGCAAAAGACTAGTGCCCGAGTGCCTATGGGGTGCTTTCGGTCGGACACTTCGTCTTGTGCATTCGTGCCCCCACGGGGGGCTGCACACCGTGTCCTTCAGTGCCTGATGCATAGAACTCCAAACGAACTCGATGCATGCCCCGACCGTTGAAAAAGATGTGAGCCGCCTTTGCATCCACTCTCATGTTGTGCCGACTTGAGCTGTGCATTCGTTAAGACATGTTTGTATGTCAAGTTTAATGGGCTTCGCCCTTAACGCGCTACTTCGCTGGCCCCTAGGTCTTTCCTTTTGGAAAACCCCCAAACAAAGAAGGTCAGCGTCAACGAAGTTGATATACCTTTCTTTGGGTGGGGCAGCGAGGTAACGAGCGGTTTTCCATTTGTCCAAGCTTTGGTTGCTGACATTCCAAACCAACAACAACAGTTCAGAATCTTTTGTATGAAATCGTCATGGAATTTACATGATGACTTTTGTACCTTTTTATGGAACAACGTCCGTTCCTTCATGTCGACATGATTTCACTTGTAAACTTGTACATGCTTTGAAGAGTGCCCGCGCACCGCTTTCACATCAAGCTCGGGCAATCGCATTGTGAACTTTTTCTTCCCGCCCTCCTCTCCCTTGAATAATGGAAGGGGGGTGCTTTCGGTCGGACACTTCGTCTTGTGCATTCGTGCCCCCACGGGGGGCTGCACACCGTGTCCTTCAGTGCCTGATGCATAGAACTCCAAACGAACTCGATGCATGCCCCGACCGTTGAAAAAGATGTGAGCCGCCTTTGCATCCACTCTCATGTTGTGCCGACTTGAGCTGTGCATTCGTTAAGACATGTTTGTATGTCAAGTTTAATGGGCTTCGCCCTTAACGCGCTACTTCGCTGGCCCCTAGGTCTTTCCTTTTGGAAAACCCCCAAACAAAGAAGGAAGCTTCTTCGTGATGGCTCTAGGGGGACCTGGGCGTCGCATGTCACCTTTGCAATACTGCAGTGCCCTGATGTCGATACAAGTTCTGCTCTATGTTCTACGCTGCTTTGCTGACAATCAGCAGGCATACCCTCACCTTCAGGTTGTTGAAGTTTTTCGGGATACGGACCGATTGGCGGTGGATGAGGGCAGGGACAACCACATTGGCGTGCGCATCGCAGTCACCTTTAATGCCGCCGAGCCTCTCCAGTGGAGGGTTGGTGATCGCCTCCGGCGTTCGTGGGATGCTGGAGTGGTTGCCTTGCATCATCCGCAAGTGCAACCACACAACTTTACCCACCCCGCTCAATACAAAGGCCGATTTCGGATATACCTGCCGTTATCAGAGGAGTCGCTGGGATTGCGGCCCTCGGCACAATTGTGTTTACAGCCCGCAGGACTGTTAACTGGTGCTCTCGCACGAGTACGTCAGTGGAACCAGCTCAACGGATATGACATCAAGGCCGCCTTGGCGGTCTGGTTACCGGGACCACGGCAGATCAGTCTCTGGTATCCTGAGCATTTTTTATCTGCTGGGCTCTTCTCGCATCGACGGCCGCAATGCGGAAATCGTGCGACGCGACTTTGCAGATGTTGCTGTGGCAAGTGCCAGATACGATCCGTACATCCTGGGTGCAAATCTTCCCTTTGCGGAATGGGTGCGAGCTGCTCGATGCTTCCGAGAACAGGGTGAATTGGCTGAGGGCCTGAGCTATCCATTTTTAATATACAGGCTCGTTCCCTCGTATCACAGCACCTCTGTGCCCCTCTACTTCAACAAGCCGCAACTTACGGGCCACTACCAGCGCCTTGAGTGGGCTTTTTTGTAGGCTCTGAATGGCGAACACATGGCGGACGCGGCGAGCTGGCGAAGCTTCCTGCACAGAACTGCCGTGCGGTATTGGGCGGAACGCGAACCAGCAGTACGCATTCTCCCCTAGGTACTCGTGCACTATTTCATTGGCATGAGCGCCCTGGCCATTCGGCCGTGCGGCTGCAGGGGTCATCTCATATAATCTTTTATGCGGGTCGGGAGTGTGATCTACGGTCCCGCTCTTTTCTGGTATTTGCATGCTCCTGGCAGTCGGCTGGTGGACCGAACGGGACGTGCGCCATGCGCCAAGCTATCGGCGCAGTGCTGGGCATTACTGGCGGAACGCGAGCCAGCAGTACATATCCCTCCTTAGGGACTCGTGCACTATTTCATTGCGTGAGTGCCCTGGCCCTTCGGCCATGCGGCTTCAGAGGACATCTCAGATATGCGGGAAGGGAGTGTGATTTTTGGTTCCATGCTCTTGGCATTCGGCAAATTGACCGAGTGGGACGTGCGCCATGTGCCATTTTCTCATTTCGTCAATCGATTCTGCACTACAGCAGTGTGCCGCAGCCCAGCATGTGGATTGCAGCCATGCATGACCTATTGGCCATTGCGCGACCCACGCGTACGGGAAGCGGGGCCTTGATTTACATTTTCAGCCATTGCGCGACCCAAGATTGCGGGAAGCGGTGCTTCGATTAGTACTTCTTGGCCATTGCGCGACCCAGGTTTACGGGAAGCGGGGCACGTGAGTGGCAGTAGCTGCTTCGAATGCTCAATAATTAATGCTGAACGACTTTGCCGGCTAAGTCTGTATGTCGCAGCGACCTTGTCTCACCCTGTACAGTCGATTGTTGCTTCTTTGTTCTTGCTTTCTTGATTCTTATAGGGACCGAGCGCAGCAGCGGCTGTCACCGAGGCCCAGCCACGCAAAAAAGAAAGGAGTTCTGCTGAGCCTCGGCCCTTGTTGGTGGCTCCGCTGGGCGCCCCCACCTCGTCCCATGTCAAGGTCAAGGTGCTGGAGCTGTCGCCGTCTCTAAAGTGGCAAGGCTTAAGACTCAAAGAGAGAGTACAAGTGCTGAAAAGCAAAATCTGTCGACATGTCAAGACCAGCAATTGAAGCGTGCATTCACTCGGACAACCCTTGATCTTTTTCGCCGGAGTGTGTCGGAACCATCTCAAAGACTTCAGACTCAGCCTACGGGCAGAAGGAGTGCTGATGCACTTACGGCAAGAAGAAGGGCTGCCGAAGCAACCAGTTTCACGGCCCTCGCGGGAATGCAACGCTTGTCTGCAGCATTCGAGTCTCTGCATGCACAGGTGACACCTTGAAAACACGGGTTGAGTGCATTGGTGTACATCTCAAGGGCGGCGAGGGTGGGTCACAAAATTCATTTGGATCCAAACGGCCACGAATGAAGAATAATTTGCAAGTTTGTCAAGCATAGTGCAATTGCCAGGCGGCTGCAAGAGGCAAAGCGAGCTACCGCATTGCAATCAAGTGATGCCAAAGAAATCCGTTTCATTTTGTTACACAATTTTTCCCCCTCAGCCTGCGGGCAGAAGGAGTGCCGATGCACTTACGGCAAGAAGAAGGGCTGCCGAAGCAAACAGTTTCACTGGCCTCCTTTCGTAGAACTCGTTACGAGGTAGTCCTTCACCCACCAGCAGATCGGGCGAAGGATCTTCTGCGATTGAAACTGGTGGAGCGGAAGGGGTGCAGTGTGAGTCTGGAGCTTGTAAGAGATCCCGGTTCAGACAGATTGGGGTCCGTGGAGGAGGAAGGCGGAAGTCAGCGAGAGGGTTCACAGGAATCAGGAAGAAAGGGGAACAGAGCGAGAGAGGAGGAAGGAGAAAGCAGGCTGCGAGATCGCAATGCCCAGCATCTGATTGTGCGAAAACCTATCAAACTATCAAGTTCGCTCGGAGAGCTCGTAGCAAATCGCACAACAAGACA